CTACCCCCCAAACCCTAAAAACAGGGTAGGGAGGTAGGGGGGGGGGGGGGGGCAACGCGCGGCCCCCGGTAGACGGCCCCCCCCAGGGCGCCGCGACGGGCGACGGGAGTTGGGCCGGGGCAGGTCGGGGCCGGGGCAGGTCGGGGACGGGGCGGGGCAGCAGGGGCCGCGCACGGCTCCCCTGGGCAGCGCGACGGGGCAGCAGGGCCGCGCGACGGGGCAGCAGGGGCCGCGCGCGGCTCCCCTGGGCGGCGCGACGGGGCTGCAGGGGCCGCGCGCGGCTCCCCTGGGCGGCGCGACGGGGCTGCAGGGGCCGCGCGCGGCTCCCCTGGGCGGCGCGACGGGGCTGCAGGGGCCGCGCGCGGCTCCCCTGGGCGGCGCGACGGGGCTGCAGGGGTCGCGCGCGGCTCCCCTGGGCGGCGCGACGGGGCTGTAGGGGTCGCGCGACCCGCCGCGCGCCTCGGGGCGCGCGGCGGGCAGGAAACCGCCGCGCGCCTCGGGGCGCACGGCGGGCAGAAAACCGCCGCGCGCCTCGGGGCGCACGGCGGGAAGAAAAACTGCCGCACGCCACGAAGCGTGCGGCACAGAGAGTAGCAGTAGCAGTTGCAGCGGAAGCAACAAGGTGGTGAGCCCACCCACAGGATCGATCCAAGGGGATCGACCTGCTCTGATAGCATGTTAAAGTTTAGAAGAAAGAAGAGAGAAGAAGAGGATTGCACTAGCAAGAATGGGGATACAAATAGGAAACCCTAGAAGGGTTGTACTCGCTATAGAGCACCCCACTACAGGCTAGAGCATAAGATAACATTCTGACATTTATTCCTCTTGCTGACGCGGCACCTGAGGATGTCCGCGAAGTTCATCATACTTACCTCGTGGATGAACAACGCCAACCAATGCCGGTGGTTTCCGATAGCAGCATCCGTGTCAACCCTGACGAAATTGGGGGGGCAAGTGGAGACCAGAATGATTCTGTCAATTTCGCAGGTCGTCCCGACGATAATCCACATTATCAGACCGGACTGCAAATTCTGGGACTCGCAGCAGCGGTACAGCACAGTTCTACAGTAAATTTGGAGCCGAAAACTGCCCGACAAGCTCTCTCAGGGCCTCATCGCGAAAAATGGCGTGAAGCGATGGATCGCGAACTGGCTGCCCTGGAGAAAAGGGGAACTTGGGATCTTATACCCATTGAAAAAACGGTAAACAAAAATGTTCTTACCGGTAAGTGGGTCTTCAGGGTGAAGACTAAAGCGGATGGTACTTACGAGAAACACAAGGCACGATGGGTGGTTCGTGGTTTTGATCAGACTCATGGGATCGACTACACACTTACCTTCGCCCCGGTCAGTCGACATACGAGTGTTCGACTTGTTCTTTGCGAAGCAGCCGCGAAAAAATTTCCACTTCGACAAATTGATGTTTCTAACGCCTTTCTGTACGCTGACGTCGATGCCGAAATCTACGTCGAATATCCGCACACATATCCGACAAATCCGCCAAGTGTCTGCAAGCTCAAGAAATCACTGTATGGCATCAAACAAGCACCGCGATTGTGGCAGCAGCATTTGAACAGGAAGCTGACGGAGGTTGGGTTTCGACAACTGCCGCACGATCCCGGGATGTACCGACTAGACGACAAGGGGAGCTATGCGTTGTTAGTGGCTTATGTGGACGACATCCTCTACGTCAGCTCGTCTACTTCGCTGGGAGATCGTATCGAAGCCGATCTGAAGAAGTCACTTGACTTAACCATTTCCACCAAAGTAACTCAATTTCTGGGGTTAAACGTTTCGCGAACTTCTTCCGCTATTCATCTCACGGCTTCGAAGTACGCGGAGTCACTCGCTAAGCGTTTCAACATTTCCACGGATTTCGTTGCTACACCTTATCGGTCTACACTCACTGGGCACGTTCCCAATCTGAAAAATTTGTCAGCAGCTGGTCTTCAACTGTATCAGCAGCAGCTGGGATGTCTTCTTTTCGCAGCAGTCACTTGTCGCCCTGATCTTGCCTACGTCGCAAGTCACCTTGCGCAGTTTTTACGCTGCCCGAAAGAAGAACACTCTCTCGATTTACAGCGTGCGCTACGCTACTTCGTCTCTACACCAACACTCGGATTGATTTTCAATGCTGGGAAGCTGACCGACAAAATGTACCTCAGCGGGTACGTTGACGCAGACCATGCTGGCGACACGTCAGATCGACGGTCACGCACGGGTTATATTTTCCGTCTCGAGCCGATTGGTCCGATTTCCTGGAATTCCTCAAAACAGGAACTGGTGTCACTTTCATCGGCTGAAGCAGAATTCATCGCCGCTTGTGCTGCAACTCGCGAAGGTCTGTACCTGCAGGAGTTACTTGACGAAGCAAAATTCGTCACGCCGAATCAGTTCACGTTGCAGTGTGACAACCAGAGTGCAATTACCATCGCCAACAAGCCTGGTTTCGTCAATCGCACGAAGCATATTTCGCTGCGTTATTTCTTCGTAAAAGACGCGATCGACAAGGGGAGAATGCGCCTTGTCTACTGCCCCACCAGCGACATGGCCGCTGATTCGCTTACTAAGAAGCTGACACGTCAGAAATTTCATCACTGCAACCAGCTCAGTGGCATTTCCGAGTCAACAGGGTGACTACACCGAACTCCTAGAAGTGAAGGGGAGTGTTGAGATAATGTCGAGACTTATGCACTTCAAGGAATTCGTACAGTAAAAGTACCGATAGACTGACGTCAGCAAAGCGCTACGCGCCTTAGGATGACGTCATCAGTAGCTGTAGGTATCGCGAATAGTCACGTACCTTTTCAGAACAGGAATAGCGCGAATAAATACAGCACAGTAGGCGAACAGGTACTTTAGTCTAGTTATATATTCTGTATGCTTGTCATTTTATTATATACTTGATTTCAGAGACTTTTTGATCCTGTTACAAGTCACTCATATAAAAAGACTTCCACTGCTACAGGAAGCTACCATCCTAAGACTACGATCCTATTCAAACAGTTAAGATTCTAACATGTCCTGCTGCTCTGCCTTGCTGTTCTCGTCTGCTGCTCTATTCTGCTCTGCTATGCTAATATGTTTTCCTTCTGTACTATTGCTCATGCTTATCGAACGGGGTCTGCTTTTGAATCGATGCGAAATCGGGATCTGCTTTGAACGTGGTTGAGAGTTGCCAAAGCTGCCTTAGCATAGCAGCTCCTCCTTCATCCTTTGTACAGTCTTGATACCGGTAGCTCTGTATTGGAATCTCATACTCTTGCTTCTAGGCCTGATGGTAGCATTGCTGCTAGGTATCCGTTATGGCAATACAATTTGAGCAGTTCGAGAAACATTGATGTGCGGTAGGTTGGATTGACACCAGATACCGTACCATTTGTGATAATGCAGGTCCGGGCTCCGGAGTCTGTGCCAGACACGGTTTTGTAAATTTATGCTCCTCAAGCAGTTGACTGTTTTTTAAATGCCTCAAAAATAGCCACAACCGTATGTGAGAATGCAGGTCCTGACATGTTTGTAAATGTATGCTCCTCAGGCAGTTGCCTTGCCGCAAAGATTTGTGCCAGGTGTGTGAGAAAGAACATCCGATATGGACCGTAACTGGACGGCACTCACTAGCTCTTTCAGATAGTTGCTTAGTCTCTTAAGAGGGCCTTCATTCTCTGATACTCACATGCGCACAGTGTGGAACAGTCCACTCCACTGCACTGCTCTGCACTGCACTGCTCTGCACTGCACTGCACTGCACTGCACTGCACTGCACTGCTCTGCACTGCACCCCTTCGGCTCGTGACACGACGTGAGTCACGACTCGAGAGAGTCACAACTACCGTAGATATGAGTCTGACTCATAACTCGTAAGATCTTTAAGAGCTCTCCGCACACACACACTGCAACAGGCTACTTCACTTCAACCCTTTGGCTTGTGAGTCGTTCATTGCATTAGAGCCCCATGGACCATGGGACATGGCATGGCATGGCATGGTCCATGGGACATGACATGACATGGCATGGTCCATGGGGCATCACATGGCATGGCATGATCCATGTGGCATGGCATGATATGGTCCATGGGGCATGGTCCTCCAACATCGGGTCAGCAGGGTCACATACTGGAAACGAATTTCACCCAGGGCCTTATTCCATTATTGATCAAAGACTCAGCAGTCAAGCATCTACAAGCCCTTTTATCTCTGCCCCATCAACTCCATCCACCCCGTCTGCTGCATCCGCACCACACTGTCCATCCATCCACCCAATCTGCCTCTCGTAAGGCTGACTTTGAAGTCCTGTACCTACCGATCCCTTAGCACATTCTCCAGCCAGCATATAACCCACCCCTACTTTTTAGGAACACCATACAAAACAGGACGAGTACACTCCGTACCCACCACCTCATCAGGCATGAAGTACGTATCCCCGTTTGCAAAGTGCAGCTCCCGAACACACGGCTCAACCGGGTAATTCCACGCGTAAAGAAAGCTCACGGTCTGCCCGGGGTAAATCTGAACATTACCCCTGGGGCCCTGGTTGAATTGAACCGCGCAGTTGCCCTTCTTGAACCTCTCAACGCAGCAAGGAGTGAAGACCGGTTCACGTTGGAAGCGGGTGGGATTGAGTGCGGGGTTGTCGAGCGAGCCAACCATAAGATTGCCGAAGTCGAAGCAGTTGAAGAGAATGAGCGGGCTCAGGATGCTGTACTTGCACCTGTTCACCATGGTCAGATTGAAGATGTAGTTCTTCTGGTACCAAACGCCCACGTACTTCTGAGCGATTCTCAGGGTCGTCCGGCCGCAATCTGGAATTCATGGGGAAGAGTTGGCGGATGGAAGGAGCAAGGAGAGGAGGGGAGGGGAGGGAGGGGAGGGGGAGAGGGTGTAAAGGGTAAGGGAGGGAACACTACTCCTTTCTAGGTATATGAGATGAGGCATATGAGATGGGATGAGGCATATGAGATGAGATGAGGCAGATGAGATGGGGCATATGAGATGAGGCATATTAGATGAGGCATATGAGACGAGGCATGTGAGATGAGGCATATGAGATGAGGCATATGAGATGAGGCATATGAGATGAGGCATATGAGAGGAGGCATTTGAGATGAGATGAGGCATAGCAGACGAGCGGCAAGCGGCCGGGGCCCCCAGCACTGCCAGCATTTGAGATGAGGCTAAGCTTTTGTTGCAAAAAGCAAGAAGGTAGGAGATGAGGCATATGAGATAAGATAAGCTCACTCACTATCGGTAAGGGGGGGCTTCCACTGAAGCTCGCGCCTGTGCGTCTCCATGTCCTTCAGGTGCTCCGGGAGAGGCTCATCCGCGTTATAAGACTCCACGTTGAGAATCCGCGGGCCCTGACGCTGAATCATATCCGCGATCGCCTCCGCGCCGCTCGCGCCACCCGCAGCGGCGGCGGAGACGGCGGAGACGGCAGCATCCGTGGAGGCAAACGCGGGGAGGGCGGAGGTGGTGGCGGAAGCGTTGTCCGCGGAGCTGAGCGCGTCCTTGCGCGCGTGAGCGGCGGGGAGGAGGGACGCCGCGAGGAGGGCGACGAGGGCGAGCACCGCAGCAGCGGAGAGATCCGGTCTCTTGGGTTGCACTAGCTCCTCTGATGCTCCTCGAGGGCCGTGACGGAGCGCCATAGTTGCGAGGAACGTCAAATGGTAGCAAAAGAAGCTGAAGGTGTTGATTTTTTCTTGAGAGGCCGCTGTCTCAAGCTCTTGTTTAACAGCTGCTTGTGTCCAGCTGATGATGATTGAAAGCGACCAATTCGTTTGAATTTATTCGTTCGCGGGGAAGGCGAAGGCGAGACGTCGTTATCACCGGTTAGCACCGACCAGAGGGCGTATCGAATTCTTCAGGCTCAGTGAGTGAAGTTTCAGGGTAAAGGTCTTTCTCGGTGAAGGTGCTACGCGCTGAAGGTCGGTTCTGCTAGGCTCTCCCGACCGTGCAGCTGTCGCTTCGCGGCGGCGCGTTGATTGCTCTTTCTAGAGATGGCTAGAGGCGTTACTTGCAACTAGCGGTCGTTTGGGGGGGTTGATACTCGCTCTGAGTGGATTCGGAGAATCCAACAGCCTCTTGCAGGGCTGCGCGCATCGATGATACGGCACCTGCGTGCTTCGGCGGCACGTAGCTTTGCAAAACGTTTTTTAGCGACCCTAACAACGAAATATACCCACCTTAGGCGGTTCTTGCTAACTCCCTACGCCACGGGTTTCGAGATGTCGTTAAGAACTGATGAAGCGTGAGCAACGAAGCAGTTGCGATGCGACGACACTGGCAGTGAAACAAGGGGGTGGGAAGAGAATGGGAATTGTTGGGAGGAAGGGATTTGGGGGAAATGGGAAATGAATTTGGGTTGACAGGGGTCGTTTGGGGAGAGGTTGGTTTGGAATGGAAGGGGCTGTTTGATTTGGGAGCCACTGCAGCAGCAGAGGTTGCATATGACATGTGGCGGCTCGGAAAAGCGCTTGACATTGGGAATTTGCGACTCGCTCGAACGATGTGCTCGATTCAGTACAAATGTACAGCTGATAAACGCGTTAGAAAGTAGACAATACGCGCTATATTATCCACCCACTTCAATTCCAGTATCAAGATTATGAACGCAACATTCCTTCCTTCCTATATCTTTGACTCTGCCATGACTCCTAAATGAGCTTATCATCGTCATTATGAACCCTTGACATGCCGTTTTCAAGGTCTTATCTGGAGCGTGCACGATATGAACTTGCTTCTGGCGCCAACATTACTGATTATATTCTTGCGGACTGTATACAAGTTTCAGGACGTCCAACATGGCATCATGCGATAAAGTCAGTTGCATACGGCTGGAAATACCGTACATTTCTGCTAGGACCTGAAAAAAACCTACGGTAGGTATCAACCTCAGCTGAACCTTGGTTCTTCAATGGTTTCTAGAGAACGCAACAGTTGCTTCAACAAAGCCTCGTCACACGTGGCAACACAGCTTCCGAATGACTCAACAAGGCTCAACCATAGGCAAGGAGGTAATGACATGCTCCTACCAGTTCTGAAGCTTGCCAACTGTTAAAAGAAGGTTCCGAAAGGGGAAGATAGTGCATTTGTGCACTGAATCTGTATCCTTGACATGGCAAAGGTACAGTTTATTCTACACAGGCCCTCAAGACTTAGTTGCAAGGTGCTATCCGAATCGCGAAGTGCACTATCACTTCCACAAACAAAGAAGAACAGATGTAATTATCACCCAGGGCCTTATTCCATTATAGAACTGAAGTCTTACAGAGAAACATCTACAAGCCCTTTTATCTCTGCCCCGTCAATTCCATCCACCCAATCTGCTGCATCCACACCTTCCATCCATCCACCCAAGCAGCCTTTCGCAAGGCTGGACTTCGCAAGTCTGGTACCCTTCCCCTAGCACATTCCAAAGTAGATTACCCACCCCATCTACTTAGGAACACCATACAAAACAGGAAGAGTACACTCCTTTCCCGCCACCTCATCAGGCATGAAGTACGTATCCCCGTTTGCAAAGTGCAGCTCCCGAACACACGGCTGAACCGGGTAATTCCACGCGTAAAGAAAGCTCTGAGTCTGCCCAGGGTAAAACTGGACATTACCCCTGGGGCCCTGGTTGAATTGAACCGCGCAGTTGCCCTTCTTGAACCTCTCAACGCAGCAAGGGCTGAAGACCGGTTCACATTGGAAGCGGGTGGGATTGAGTGCGGGGTTGTCGAGCGAGCCAACCATAAGATTGCCGAAGTCGAAGCAGTTGAAGAGAATGAGCGGGCTCAGGATGCTGTACTTGCACCTGTTCACCATGGTCAGATTGAAGATGTAGTTTTTCTGGTACCAAACGCCCACGTACTTCTGAGCGATTCTCAGGGTCGTCCTGCCGCAATCTGGGTTGCACGGGGAAGCATTTGCGGAGAGGAGGGGAGGGGGAGATCGGGGGAGGGGGGAGGGATAAGGGTAGGGAATTTGAGATGAGGCTAAGCTTTTGTTGCAAACAGCAAAAAGGTAGGAGATGAGGCATATGAGATTAAGATAAGGTCACTCACTATCGGTAAGGGGGGGCGTCCACTGAAGTTCGCGCCTGTGCACCTCCATATCCTTCAGGTGCTCCGGGAGAGGCTCATCCGCGTTATAAGACTCAACGTGAAGAATCCGCGGGCCCTGGCGCTGGATCATATCAGCAATCGCCTCAGCGCCGCTTGCGCCGCCCGCAGCAGCGCTGGCGGCAGTAGAGACGGCGGCGTCCGCGGAGGAGGACGCGGGGAGCGCGGCGGAAGCGTCGTCCGCGGAGCTGAGCACGTCCTTGTGTTGTAGAGGACTCTCCTCTACTTTGCAGGAACTGGGAGTTGTTCTAAACGATAGAGCACAGTCTTGGCTTTCCAACAAGCCGTCAAACACGTTAATCGCCCAAGTATACGCCGAGATATTGGCGTTCACGTGATTGCTAGTGCTCTTAGAAGCAAGGATAGACCTCTCTGGAATTTTGGTTCGAATGGACCATGTACAAGAAGATTCAGGATTTCAGTATAAAGCATGCATACAAGGCAGGTCGATTTATAGCAAATGCATTACATCGAACCGCACATGTAACATCACATCGCTACACTCGCGTCGCGAATGCGCCGCGTGTAACATTTCGGTTGGGGTGAAATTCGACCACCGAATTTCACACCGAACACACCGAATTCGCCTTGCACTTGAAGGTTGGAATGTGGTGCCGCCACGTGGCACCGAAGGGTGAGTCTCCCGAAGTCAATCGGTGCCACCCCACCGATCCCTGGTCAAAGGGATCGAAGGCACCGAAGTGCCCTCGGTGGGTTGGGGGCATACCACCGCCCCACCACCGTTTCCTTCCAACACTCCCCCTTGCACCCAAGCCACTAGGTGTTCATACCAACACGCTCACGGCATGCACGGAATGAATCCTTAGGGAGTGGTTTAGTGAAAAAATCCGCGGGTTGCGCCTTGGTGCTTATGTATGTGACCTTGACCTCACCTCTCTCGACCACCTCACGAATGAAGTGATGCTTCACCTCAATGTGCTTGGTACGCCCGTGAAGGACGGCATTGTGAGTGAGGTTTATGGCCGCTTGGTTGTCACAAAAGAGAGGAGTTGGGTCGGCTTGAGGATGCCCAAGCTCCGCTAGAAGGCGCCGTAGCCATATTGCCTCCATGGCTCCTTGAGTGAGTGCCATATACTCCGCTTCCGTTGTGCTTAGAGCCACGGTTGGTTGCAACTTGCTTTGCCAACTCACGGCTCCCCCAAGCAAGGTGAAGACGTACCCGCCGGTACTCTTGCGCTTGCTTTGATCACCGGCATAATCCGAGTCGGTGTAGCCCTTAAGCACGATTGGACCGGCTTCATATACGATTCCCAAGTTGGGTGTGCCTTGGAGGTAGCGTAGAACACGTCCTCCCGCACGCACATGCTCGGTATGAGGGTTGCTTACGGCTCGTCCAAGTACCCCGGCGGCGTATGAGAGGTCGGGACGGGTGGAAACGGCGGCATACATGAGTGAGCCGACTAGCGAATGAAACCGCTTCCCTTCGGCTTCGTCGAGGGCGGATTCTTCCTCTCCCGGGAGGCAAGAAAATCCCGTGTCTAGTGGCGTCCCCACCGGGTTGCTATTACCCATGCCGAAGCGCTCCACAACCCCTTTCACATATTTTTCTTGGTGGAGGTGAATGGTCCCGTTCGCACGGTCGCGGTCGACGTGCATCCCGAGGTAGTACGTCACCAGTCCCAAGTCCCTCATGGCAAACTCCGCCCCTAGCCGTTGCTTGACCTCTCGAATGAGGTCTTTGGAGTCGGAGAAAAGAAGGAGGTCATCGACGTAGAGCAAAAGCACCAATTGCTTCTCCCCCTCCTTCAACACGTACAAAGCGCTATCACACACGCTACGCGCGAAGCCGTGTTGAAGAAGAAAGTCGTCGATGCGCTTGTACCATCCGCGTGGGCTTTGCTTCAAGCCATAGAGGGTACGCTTGAGCTTCCACACCCGACCGCTACCGTCATCGTACCCCGGGGGTTGCCGCATGTAGACTTCTTCCATGAGAAGCCCGTAGAGGAAGGCGGTGCAAACGTCCAATTGTTCCACCTCGAGGTTGAGAGATGCCGCTAGCGCGAGCAACACCCGAAGAGTGGAGGCCTTCGAAACGGGAGCGAAGGTCTCACTATAGTGCTCCCCCTCCCGTTGAGTGTACCCTTGCGCCACAAGCCGCGCCTTGTAGCGTTCGACACCTCCATCGGCTCCCAATTTCTTCCTAAGCACCCACTTGCATCCCACCAAGTAGGCACCCTTCGGCGGGTCGACGAGCTCGAAAACATCGTTCTCCTTGATCGATGCTAACTCCCTCTCCATCGCTTGCTTCCATAGCGGTGCATCCGGGGAAGCCAAAGCCTCCTTGTGAGTGCGTGGGTTATCGTCGCCGATGGTCGCTAGGCAAATCGCCGCACTCTCCTCATCCGACTCCCCAACGGCGACCGTAGCATAGTCGGTTAACCTCGTGTTGGGGCGAGGTGTACGACGCCCGCGAGTCAACGCCAATGGTAGGGAAGAAGGTGCGGAGGAAGTGGCCTCCTCGGTTGGTGGCACCTCCTCGACATCATCATCGCACTCCTCGTTCTCTCCCCCTCCACTTT